CCAAGCATAGCTCATTATATATTTGTTGCTTCTTCAATCTCTACCCAAAAGGGAGACTAATAGCCTTACCTTACACCACAATCCATAATACCATTGTTGCCTTGCAGACCTACTAGACCTCAAGGTCTAAAATACCCAAGATAATGTCCAAAATCCATACTGACTTAGGGAATTTTGGGGTTTAATCCAATAGTTCTGGAAGGCATTAGGAGAGGAATGCTGATTTATGTCTTTAGAGTAACTGAAGCTCCCTTTGAACTAGCTAATCCCTGAAGTTACATAAGATATCTGAGCTAATGAGATTTGCCTCTGTTGATAAGAATGTGACACCTAATTCTTGAGCTACATAAAAGAAAAGTGTAAATGAGACATAATTCTTTCTTTTTGTTCCCAGAATTCACCATCAAGAGTTTTTGCAGCTTTGTAGACATCATGAATTTTTCCAAGCTACAAGTCTTGAGACTGGATGGGAATGAGATCCGTCGCAATCATATGCCCTCAGATGCCCCACTATGCCTGCGGTGGGCCAATGTCATAGACATTTAACTACTACACTTGTTTCTTTCCTTAGACCACCTCCATCATAGGAACAGGGCCAAATACTTCCTGCAATCCTACGGCACAATGAGGATTCTTCCTCACTTTTTTTTTACTGCTTCATTTGACTGAGCTTCTACAGTGGTATAATGTAGGGAGAATTGGTAACCTGAACGCAGAGGTCTTGTTTATAATAGTCAATTCAGTAACGACGCAAAGGCCAACCAAATCTTTGCTTACCTCTTTCCCACTTTCTCTCTACCGCACTCTCATTTTTTCAGCAATCACTTACCCAGTTTTCATGTCATGCTGTTGGGTGGTGCTCATTCTCTTTGATGAGCAGTACAGAAGTATTATTCTTTACAAGTATTTCGTGTGTGTAGCATTAGAAATTCAATGCCAGCTAGGATACCTTTGGGATTTAGTTTTCCATGTAGGGGGACTGCAATGAACAAGTACTGTAGCATGTGTGTAGTGGCAGTGAATGAGACTAAATCCAAACAAAACTAAAACAGATTAAAAAGTTGGCCACCCAGCAAGGAACTATTAGAAAGATTAGTTCGGGAAACAGAAAAAAAGCAAAACCAATGGAGAAAACAGTAACAAGTTAGTTGACAGTATAACTCTCCAGGTATTAGTTGCCAACTAAGTATCATCATTTTGTTTATTCTTCTTTCTTGTCCATTAGTTTTAACATACACAATACAACAACACACATTACCAGTGAGGAATCAAAACTCCAACAAGCTTAGCAACACATAAGAATTGCATATTGAGCTAATCATGATGCTGTACGTCAAATGTCACCATTATATTTCCAACCCCAATAGAGGCTTGTTATTTATAATAGTCATAATTTAGCCCCCAGAAAGACCAAAATATAGTTTTGCACTTAAATAGTTTCAGCAAGACCCTTTGTCACCATCTTTTTTTCATTTTTACTTTGTTCTAATGCTCCTATTTAATCTCTTAATGTTCTGCAATCAGTGCTGTGGTAGCAGAAGGATTTTAAGTAATATTTCCGCCTCAGATTTGGAGACCATTGCACTTTGAGAGATTAAAAGGAGTAACGGAGCCTTCAAACCTAACATTTTCTCACAGTTTGAGGGCAGCCTTACATCAATAGAAAAGCTTCATTCATATCACATCCTGGAGGGGTGGGAAGAAAGAGTATCTTTTTCATTTTCAGGAAAAAAAGAACATTTTACTATGTAAACTTCTGATGGCATTGAGCCCCATTTGTGGCTTCCTACACACTGCATATTATTAACCTTTTCCAGCCACCAGGTTTTTTTTCCCCCTTTCTTCTGTTATAGCGCAATGCAATTCATTACTCAATGCTTTCATCATGCATATTTCATATTCCTTTCCATGTGCTGCTTGAGTGCATATAAACAATGCTACTGTTTGAAGGCATGTTTCTAGATAATAATAAAATGCAATGAGAACCATAAGCATTAAAATGGTTGGTAAGATTCAGTATCATTCAAGCAAGATATTTAGTCAGCATATAATGAAGAACTGAGGATTTTAGGCTTGTACTACTCTGTATGTTCCCATTTCAGCACAATAATCCAATAAAAGGTGCATCCTAAATCCTTGTTATAATAGCATTGCTTTCTTGGTTCCTGTAAGTCTAATTACATTTGCTATAATTCGCTTGCTTGACTATAGAACTGCCTGTATTAAATTTCATGCATGCCATAGTACCAGCTACTGCCATAAGAATCTATGGTGCTTTTGTCTATCATCCACTTTCATTTCCATAAAATTCATGGAGGGAAAAACAAGAACAAGGGAAAAATAGGTCTTGGGAGATTCTGAGATGCTCGAAACCTTTTTGTATATGTAAAATGCATGCTGATAATATTTTTAAAATGTAGATGCATGAACTGTAGATACCATTATTGTTCAATAAAATCCTTTTTATAATTGCATGGAATGACTTGAAAACTACCAATTGTTGAGAGGAAGTCTGAAACATCTGATGTTAATGAGTAATTATCAGGAATTAAATCCACCATGGAAACATTTAATACTGCACATTTGAAAGGAAGGTGTCTGCATTTAGGGGATCAGATATGTTGATTTAGTGAATGGGTTCAGTAAATTAAATCAAGGTTTTATAAGCCATGATTTGCTAGGTTCACATATTGTAAATGTAAAAAAATGGCTAGGTTCATACAATATGTTAAGACACAAACAGACACAAACACAAAATATCTATTATGTTTGGCTCAGAGATAAGCAACTTTTCTAAGCAGACACCATCATCACACGGTTTTGCATGGCACTTGCAAGCATCAAATGATATAAAAGAAAAATAGCAGCTGGAATGTTGTGAGACCTTATATGAGAACACAGGTACCATTGTGATTACTGGGAGATTTGGGGAATGTTAATTTTTTCCCATATTTTGCTATGCAGTGGACTCTCCATTCAGGTATCATAGATCCCAAAAATGCTTCAGTTCTAATCTGATATATTTCCTTAGCAATTTCATTCTTTCCAGCCAGTTGGGAATTAATGATCACCAAGCCTAAGTAAGAGAAATGTTCTCATTTGTAGGAAAGGCTTCCCTCAGTAATATATTCTGGGAAAAGCACTGCTTCTGCTTCTCATGCTTTAGCATTAATATTTGACTGCCAAACTGAATGGTTCAAGGCAGATGGATCTTATAGGGGATCAGTGTAACCATTATAAAACTCTGGTTCAAAAAATCAGTCTTTCCCTTGAAATGTCACCTCCATTGGATTTCCAGGTAAGCCTGTCAGATACTGTGCTGCAAAATCTGAACAGCTAAAATTCTAAGTAGCTCTTCCATCTAGTGTTGGTTTGTTGGTTTGTTGGTTTGTTTTTTAGTTTCTGCAACCCAAATCTGGTAGACCAGTGTTTTTCAATCTCACCAACTAAAATGTTGGCTAGGGGATTCTGGGAGTTGAAGTTCACAAATCTTAAAGTTGATGAAGATGAGAAATACTGTGGTACAGTAGACCCTGCATATGAAATTGTTCAGCAGTAGCAACAGTGATAGAAACAGTGATCTAACTTTGCCCTCTGGTGGCTGAACTATGGAATTTCTTACAACATATACCTATTCTTCCACCAAATAATGTTTCATCTTTAAATGCTAATGTTTCACCATAATTGCAAACAAGCACAGCTACTTTTTAGATTAGGGGTCTCCATCCTTGGCAACTTTAAGACTTGTGGATTTCAACTTCCAGAATTCTGGGAGTTGAAGTCCACAAGTCTTAAAATTGCCAAGGATGGAGACCCCTGTTTTAGATGATATTTGTGTTGAGTTGATGACAATACTATATTGCCAAAGATGAATACCGTATTTTTCGGAGTATAAGACGCACCTTTTTCCCCCAAAAAAGAGGGTGAAAATCTGGGTGCGTCTTATACTCTGAATGTAGCCCCGCCCAGTTTCTCAAACGGAGGTGTCAGAGGCTGAAAAAAGCATCAGAAACGAAGCTTCAGAAAAGAAGTCCCCAAACAGACCTTCAGAGGCTTTTTTTCTCAAGCTCAGTTTCAGAGGCTTTCAGAGGCAAGAAAAAAGTTTTTTCTCAAATGGAGTTTCAGAAGTTTCAGAGGCAGAAAAAAAAGCCAAAAAAAAGCAAGGCACAGAGCTCACAACCAAGGAACCTGTTGCTAAAATTCACCTCTGGGAACAGCTGATTGGGGGTATTCTGGGAGGCCGATCCACCTGCCAATCAGCTTTTTTCTTATTTTCCTCCCCAAAAACTAAGGTGCGTCTTATACTCCGAAAAATACGGTATTTGCTGGGAGGAACTGTCTTATCTACATTGCAGTAAGAATTCCATAGTGTACATGAAATATGCACAAAGAGCAAGGCTATTTCTGGTTTCTAGTTATGATGGTGAGATGTTTTTCTACCAGTAGCAGAATTACAAATTTGAGAGTGAAATTACACATACTGTAGTCCTTGATTTACAATAGTTCATTTAGTGACTGTTTGAAGTTACAATGGCACTGGAAAAAGTGACTTATGACCAGTTTTCACACTTATGACTCTTGCAGCATCTCCATGGTCACTGGATCAAAATTCAGGTACTTAGCTACTGGTATGTATTTATGATGGTTGCAGTGTCTCGGGCTCATTTAATCACTTTTTGTGACCTTCTGACAAGCCAAATTAATGGGGATTTGCAGTGATTCGCTTAACAACTGTGGTAGGAAAGGTCGTAAAATGAGGCAAAACTCATTTAACAAACAAAAGCAATAGAAATTTTGGACTCACCTGTGATCGTAAATCAGGGACTACTTACTGACTACAGTACTTACTGTCCCTTACATTGTGGCGGGGGGTGGTTTGCAGATTTTCCATTGATTTCAGTTTGCTATTGCAGGTGTAAAATTCTGGAACAGATGGCCTGTATTTTGATCCAGCTCAGCTCTTCTGAGATCCCAAAGCAAACGGCAAGGGCATCAAAATCTCATGTTCAGCATAATTTATTTTCTTGTCTCCTAGATAATCTAGCACACACTAATTTTATTCATGCAGGGCACAGGTGTCAAACTCACAGTGTCACATTTCCATCACATGACCTTTTGCAACGTCTTTCCCCTTCGCAGAGATGGGGTGGGCATGGCCTGAGTGTGACGCATCCGGCCCACGGATCACCAGTTTGACACCCCTGATGTGGGGTCTTTCACTGCAGTCCCAGAAAGCATGATGCTGCTCCTTTTCTGGTGCAGACATTATTCATTGATAAGGTTTCATAATACAGCATTAGAACTCTATCCATAGCAGGGCTTCTGGTGAGGATTATGGTGGACTTGATGTCTCTGAAGAAGCAGTGACGGCTGACCGCGTTGATTGGTGGGCAGATGCTGGCTGACAAAACCTGTCTGGATGAAGGAGAGATTGTGAGATAGTCCACTTGTACTCTGAGCAGCTGCTTCTCATGAGTAAACTACAGGACTAGAAGGTTTTGTGGTTGACTCATAAATCAAACAGCTGGGAGTCACAGAATCCCATCTAAGCCCACAGCCAAAGTGTAGCTTATATACACAATAAATTCAGCCAAGTTAATTTTTTAATTCTTAATTTCTTAACCACGTTTCATTTAATCAGTCTACAGATAAACAGATTTTCTTTGTGGCAAGATACCATTCCTCTTGGTGAGTGCAACTTTTTTTTTCTGGATTACAATAAAAAAGAGACTTTGAAGATTTAAAGACTCAAGAACTTTTGACAAAAAAACAAAGAGATGATTTAACAAAGTTTAAGGTGGATACAGGAAACAGTTATATTTTTATTTGTACTATTTTTACTTTTGGTGATAGTGCTTTTGCATAAACTTGAATTAAACTAGACAAATAGACCAGACCTTTCTGGAAATGCTTTCTGTTTACTACTAAAGAGTGCAAGTGATTGGCAGATTTAATAAAACAAAAGATAAAGGTAATATCAGCCAGACTGTCATGCTTTGTTGCTATGGGTATGTGGATTGTGATGTGGATTGAAAGGCACAGAAAGAGAAAAGCGAGGGGGAAAAATCACGAGATCTTGTTTTTATACATGATAACTACAACCAGACTAGTATTATTGTCTGCACAAAAGTGATATATTTTGGCACTAACCACAATGGTGGAAAGGTTGGTGAAGATGATGGAACTTGCAGAAATGGCTAAATTTATTTCCTTGATTGAAGACATTAGACAGTATCTGTGCTTAGTATTGATCCGAAATCCCTTATAGACTTTTTGCATGAAACAGAAAATAATGAACTTATGATTTATGATTTTGATTATTTAAAAAAAATAGAAAAAGAGAGATTTTTGTACTATAGAGGTAATTTTGCACTATACTTGTACTTAAAATTGCTGTGAAGAAAATGGAAGCTATTTCTATTACTTTTCATTGTTTCTTATGCTTTTTTTGGCTTTTTCTCCACATTTTTTTCTTTTTCCTTTTATTTACTTTGCATTAGTTCTTGTTAATTTTCATCTCTTTTAAAATATTTAATAAAAATTATGTGAAATAAGAGGGGAAAAGAATATCCGGAGCTATACAAATTAAATGTATTAAGAGCCTTGGTAGTACAGTGGTTTAATGCACCCTGTAATTAACACAGCTGCCTGCAATTTCTGCAGGTTCGAATCTTACCAGGCTCAAGGTTGACTCAGCCTTCCATCCTTTCTAAGGTAGGTTAAATGAGGACCCAGTTTGTGGGGGCAATAAGCTGACTTTGTATAAATATACAAAAGTATGAAGGCTATTGCTTAACGCATTGTAAGCCACCCTGAGTCTCCGGAAAAGGGCGGCATATAAATCAAATTAAAAAAAAAAATACATTTCAACCACACCACCTAGTATATTCTGGCCATTTTGAAACTGGAGTTTTCCAGATATGCTAGATCATAGTTCCCATCATCTCCTTTTAACATTCAAAGAATCATGAGCAGTACATCACATCTCCATCTTCAATTCAAAACCTCTTTATTTCTGCCACAAGATGTCAATGTTGTCATTCAAAAGCAATGGCTTGGTAGGGTCAATGGTAATAAATTCTAGGATCACAGCTGATTTTGCCTGATGCAGCAAAAGCAAAATAGCTTAGAGGTGAAGAAAGATGCATGGCATTTATGTGCCTAGTCTATTTCACAAGCAGAAAAATATCAGGAATAATTGAGTAGGCAAGGAAGCTTTTCTTATGAAGGAAATGCTCTTTTTTCCCCTGATGCTTTATTAATATTGGCTATACCAAAAGACATTACATGAAAGAAGCTCTAGGAATAGTTTTTTGTTTTTTTTTTCCTGGAGCAATGATAATTAGTTCATAAAATAATATATATTAGGCAGAATACAGTGTAGAAGTCTATGATTATGTAAGGTATGGGCAAGTAAGACTGGCTCTAGGTCCCATAAATGAAATTGTGCAAACACACTCCTTGCCACTGTTATCACCTGGGGATTCTCAAAGACTGATGGAGAAGAAGTATTCATAGACTAAGGGCATGCTCTTCCAGCAAAGATCAGTCCCACTTAGAGAAGATTAGATTCCACTTTCCTATTGGCCAATAGCCAGTAAGAATCAGCAGTGCACAGAAGCAGCCAAAAAAGCTAATACAATCCTTGGTTGTATAAACAGAGGCATAGAATTAAAATCACATGGAATTTTAGTACTGCTTTATAAAACCTTAGTAAGGCCACACCTGGAATACTACATCCAGTTTTGGTCACCACATTACAAAAAAAGATGTTGAGACTTTGGGGAAAAAAGTGCAAAGAAGAGCAACTAAGATGATTAAAGGCTTTGAGACTAAAACATATGAGGAACGGTTGCAGGATTTGGGTTTGACTAGTCTAGAGAAAAGAAGGACTAGGAGGGACATAATAGCAGTATTCCAGTATTTGAGGGGCTGCCACAAAGAGGGGGGTCAACTTATTTTCTAAAGTACCAGAGGACAGGACAAAAAATATTGGATGAAAACTAATCAAGGAGAGAAGCAACCTGGAATTAAGGAGAAACTTCCTAATAGTGAGAACAATTAACAGCTTACTTTCAGAAGTTGTAGGTGCTTCATCACTGGAGACTGGACAGACACCTGTCTGAAATGGTATAGGGTCTTCTGTTTGACCAGGGGGTTGGTCTAGAAGACCTCCAAGGTCCTTCCAGATCTATTCTGACATCCCAATCCTGTTTGTATTAGAAATAAAGTAAGAAAATGAGATTCAGAGACATTCAAGAAGCAAAGAGATAGCTGTGAATTTTTTTCCCCTCACATGTGTGTTTTTCCACATTCCAACTGCCATCAGAATAAAAACATCAAGATAAATGAATTCTAAATTAAGAAATTGTGGATGGGATAGAGATTAAACATCTTCTCTGTTGCTACATTTCCTATATCAAATGTCTCATTCATTTTTTTTCACTCGTTAAAGATTATATGATTGTATGTAATTTGTAGCTGGGCCCCCATTGCCACATTAACTTTTGTAAAGTTTGTGCAGCCTCAATCTTCTGATCTGCAACAACTATTATTTTCTTTGGAATCACTTACAGATAATAATCAATTGCCTGTATGTGGAGGGAAATGCCATCCAACGCCTATATGTTTTCCTGAATACAAAATAAAAATTTCCCTGTGATATTTTAACAATGTTGGCCCTGTTAACTGGGAATTGTAGATGCTCTGTTCCCAACACAGGTGGAATATCAATCTGAGGAAGCTTGCCTAGTGGATTTAATAAGAAGTCAGCTAGCCAATTCACTGCTAACTTCACAAATTAGTTTTAAATTGGCTTTATTCTATACAAGGATAAGAAAATCTGGAGGTATAGGAAACTGCCCCAAACAAGTCGGATGTCAGCAGCTACATTATCAAATTCATTGTTCATATTATTATAGTGTTATAATTTTGTGGTTTCTTTGATTATGGTTTTGCAGTCATTCTAGTAAATTATGAACCAACAGAGTTTTGACTTATGTTTATATACAAGCCCATAGTGGCTTAGTCAATAAACCATCGTTAAACAAAACATTGATTCATGTGTATGAACTCAGTGAGTATATGGATCACATGCTAGGCCATGGCCCTGCTAGGACCTTGCTTATACGTTATTATCCACAAGAAGTGCACTGCCATATATCTTTTTTCCCCTTTAGCTTTAGCAGCATTTGGAACTGTAATAAAGGAGTTGTGGGGGGGGGGGAATGTCACCTTTACTGGCGTTTAAAAGTTGCATAAAGTTTCTCTCCCCTCTCCTAATCACTGCTAGTAACAGATCATCATGTTTGGCTACTTGATCTTTTTCATTACTTAGTGTCAGTATATTCAGCCTGCATTCCAGCCTAAGTGAGTAGGCTGGAAAATATGCTGTTGTGGGTGAGCATTTGTGTCACAGACTACTTGTGCTTCAAGTAAGATTGCAGATTCTTAGAGCTGCCAGTGCCATCCTCCCTTTTCCTGTGCTGGGAAACCCAATATGCTCTTGCCTTTGTTCCTTGGGCAGAACCTTACCTTTGAATGCCAAGTTCCCTTACAAAACTAACACATTTTACAGCAGCAAAAGAATGTAGACAACACCCTGGCACAAAAATGTACATGTTTCTAGTAGAGGACTCCTCCTCTTCTGAGCCACTCTCTAGCCTTAAGGCCCTCACTTTTGGCTTAAATACAAGAACAGAAGCAAACGGGTGAGTAATATTTTTGGGTTGGGGAGGGGAGAGGAGTTCTACTGTGGTCCACCCATCTTTTTCAAAAGACTTGCTCTAGAAGGGTTGGAGTAGTTGTACAATGTACAACTGTACATTGTACATTGTAGTTGTACAATGTAGTGTAGAGATGACTCGTACCATCAATGAAAGAGATCTTAGAACTTCACACTCTAGATCTTTGAGTAAGAAGAATTTCAGCTCTGAGAGTTGAGTTGTTTCCTTAGCATGAAATCACTGGAGGCTTATTGTGATTTTCTGAGATGCAATTTATTTACTACTTGTCAAGATCTTTACATTAACATCTCAACAAATACCAAACCACTTATCTCTCAATCCTAGACTCACTCCAGTGCAGGCTGTTCCCTTGTTTCCTACTTATACAAAACAGTGCCCTGGCCTCTCCCTGCTGTTGAATCATGATGATTTCTCTCTGCCCATCATTTACTAAATTCTGAGGCCACCTTATCTCCTGCTAATAGACCTCATCTCAATACTATGGACTATCAACTATCTTATGACAAAGCCCTAAATGCATTGCTTCAGGGCAACCCCATTGCCAGCTCTTTTCTCAGAATGAGATAAGAATCATGGAACTAGAAAATGTGGAGCAGACCGCAACCTATCAAATCTTGCTCAAAAGGATGTAAACCAAACTCAGCTCTTCTTTTTTTTTGCAAAATTTAACATAAACCATCAGTATAGTCCTTGAGGAGTGGTCAACAATGAAATCATTTTGACCTACACAGAACATGGCCATCACAGTAAGCAAACCATTCTGGATATATATTTATTCCTGAGAACAATTCAAATGCTAATTATTACTCATAATATTCTGGTTTAGTTTAAGTCACCTTGGAGCAGGAGTGTCACATGATGTATCACAACTTTTTTTCCCCTCGCTAAACTGGGCGTGGGCTTGGCCAGCGTGTGATTCATCTGGGCCGCGAGTTTGACAGTCCTGCCTTAGACGATATCTTATCCTTTGAAATCTTTCTGTTTCTTAAGACCTGGTGCTAAAGCATTCATATGTATACTAAGACTTTTTGAGTACCGTATGACTAATAGTAACATGCAAAAGGTGTATTTCTGCAACAGTGGTTAACTGTATTATCTCCTGTGAAAAGAATATTCTTTGGTTTATTGGAGTTTCATCCACTTTTTTAAAAAAGAATTATCTTTTGGAAAGCTTTTGTTATTATTCTTTGAAAGTTTTGGCTAAGTAGTATTTCATAATTTACTTCATTTTTAACCATATGTTTTATATGTATGTGTATTATGATTAGGTTTGGAATTTCTTAGCCATTATCAAGAACTTTATTAGAAAAAGAAAGCATAGTAATTCTCAAGAATCTCTTTTTGGTGTCAAGTTACTGTTTTGATATCAGGAAAATGCACTGAAAACAATCACTGTTCAAACTGAGATATAAACTGTATTTCACAGAATATTAAGATTTACAACCAAAAAAAAAAAAAGTAGGAAATTCATGTATTTTCCTTTCTTTTTTCAGGAAATAGTCAGAAACCGTTATATAAATCAAACAATTACAACTATAAAAATAGCAGCAAATTATCACACACATTATTACACAAATCTGTAATAATTCTTCAAATAATCTTAAAATAAATATGCCTTCTCATAAATTTTTTAACCCATGATGAAGGAAGGGATCTTTGGGAGTAGAGGGAATCATTTTAAACTGACTTTTCCCAGCACCACTCAAAAAATTGTGTGAAACCTGGTTGGAGTGTACCCAGCTTAACCTGAATAAGTTTATTATACTAACTAAGACACAGTCTCATATCCAAGTTTAAGATGCAGAAGATCCAGCCAGTCCTTTCTCTAGGTCCATTCCTTATGAAAAAATCTAAGATCAGAAAGTTCAGATATATGTGGAAATCATCTAATCCAATGCCACTCATTGTGGGATCTAGCCTCTGACAACCTCCAGCAGAGAATTCAATCCTTCATGTCACAGCACGTTCCACAGGTTGATGACTTATGCACTCGGGAAGTTCTTCCTGATATCTAGCCAGAATCTATTTCCTTGTAATTTTAACCAGCTGCTTCTTGCTTTGCACTTTGCAGCAACAGAAATATGTTTAGCCCCTCTTCTATGTGACAAGGTAGTTGAAGAATATTATCATATCTCTCCTCAATTATCTCTTCTGTAGGCAAAACACATATTTTAGCCAGTCCTTATATGGCTTGATTTTGAAGCTGCTCACCATCTTGATAGCCCTCCTGTTGAGTCACTTACTCTAATTTGTCATTTTCCTTTCTGAACTATAATGCGCTGAACTGGGGTACAGTTTTTCAAATGGCCTAACTGGAACAAATGGTTCTTATGATCTGGCCCCTATAGCCCAATTAAAGGCACCCAGTGATAATGTTTGCCTTTTTAGCAGCAGGATTCCACTGTCAGCTCATGTTTCACTTGCAACCAACAAGACACCTGAATCTCTTTCACAAATGGTACTGCCAAGTCAGGTCTGCCTATCCTGTATTTGTGTTTTTCATTTTCTACCCAGAAACAGATTTTTACATTCTCCCTTTTAAATACCATCTTATTCACTTCACTCATTCTCCAAACTGTTCTAGACCTTTTTGAATGTTCCTTCTCTGTACTAACCATCCTTGCCAGCTTTCTATCACCTGCAAACTTGGTAAATATATCCCTCATCCAAGTCATTGATAGGCCAGGTTCCCAGACACATCTCTCAATACTTCACTCCATTAATGAGCGCTCTTTGGATACAGTCATTCAACTAATTCTGAGTCCAACTCACAGTAGTTATCATCTAACCCATATTAAACCAGTTTATTAAAGAGAATGTCATAAGCTGTCCTGCTGAAGGCTTTACTGCGGTCCAGGTGCACTATGCTTAAGAAATTCCCATTATGTATTAACCTAATAGCTCTGTCAAAGAAGAGCATGGATATTGAACTGCTCACAAACATACTGTTTAATAATGTGTTTGAGTTTATTTAGAGAAAAGTCCTCTGGAGTTACATACTTCTTTAAACTGCCTTGAGAAAATCAATCCATCCCCAACAACTTTAATTGTATCTTCTTTGGGACTTCCAAACTAATTTCTCCATTCTGAGTGATCCATAGCCACTAACATTCCAGTGCTATTGTGTGAGTTTGTTTCATCTGAAAAGCAAGCAAATAAAAATGATTGTAACAAGACTTGAGTTACTGGGATAAAATATGTACTTTAATTCAGAAAATTCTTAAAATAATTGAATACATAAGTTTTTCTTTTTGGTTTGATGGATAAGTAATTGGAGAAAAAAAACATGAGGCTTTGTTTTTATATATGATAATGGCAGCAAGACTTTTGTATAGATAAAGACTTAAAGATTTCCACAATGGAAGAATGGATGGTGAAATTAATGGAAGTGACCAAGAAGATGAAATTAACTACTTTGATTAAAGAATAGGCTTTGTCTAGCTTTGTTTCTATTTGGAAATCGTTTTTTGCTGGAAACTGTAAAAAATGTTGTATTAATTGTGGAATTATAATGATTAGAATTTTTTTATTATTATAGAAATACTGTTAGTATTGAGTTTTAGATCAAAAAGTTAATATATTTCATATTTGCAACTGTATCAAAGAAAATTGGAAGTTACCTTTTTTCTATTTCTTTTTTCCTTATTCTTTTGAACCTTCCCCTTCCCTTCTCAATTCCTTTTTTTTTCTTGTTTTTTATGTTAGCCTTTGCAGAAATTTAGTAAAGTATGTTTTAAAAAATTGATTGGAATGGAAGTAAATGCTTGATCCCAGGCTGGCTGGAGCTATACTCTTCAAGGCTCAATCTAGCTGCATCAGCACAGTTTAGAAGGGTGGGAAAGCAAAGAGGGAAAGAGCCTTTCATGCATAGCTCAATGAAACAAGATTAGGCCTTAGGAAAAGTGGGGTAGAGGTGGGAAAATATGCCTCGACAAGAAGCAGCTGCCAACCACCCCTCCCTAAGCTGCCCATCAGGCTGAATCTGAAAGGCCCCTTTCCCCTTCCATAGCCCTGGAGGAAAAAAAAAAAGAAATCACGCTTCTCCATTTTAACCCTCTAAAGTGCTGAAGCCCCAATTGGCCCACTGGTTTCTGCCAACCAACCAATCATATAACTGTTGCCAAGATAATGCAGCTGAGTTGACTTAGTGTTTGCTGGGAGCGGCAAGGGAGAAAAAAAATCTTTCCCCCCCCCCCCCACCTTTCCTGTTTCTGTTGCAGGCAGTCTCCGGAGAGAGGAGGTGCCTGATGCAACAGGCGACCCTGCAGGGTTGGGTTGGGCAAGGCTCCATCCATCAACAGCTTGTCAGCCCAGCAGCTTTGTTTCCACCCTGTGGGGGTGGAGTGCAAGATCTGTGGATTCTTCCGCAAACACAAGCTCAGTAACACATCTCCGCTCCCTGCAGCAACTGAGAAGTTATGTTCCTTCTTCAAGGGGCGCTGTGCATTCTGTGCTTTTAACATTTACATCTTTGTCTAAGTCTCTGATCAGACACTTGTGCTGCCATACAATCCAAACCACAGGAGAAACACAAATGAAGCCCAAGAAACTTAAGCCTCTCGGTCTGGATTTTGCAATCTGATTCGGGAACCCGACTTAAACCCCATCATAGTTTTAGTACACAGATTAGAATTAAATTCTGATTCTTCCCATTCCTAAATGCTTCATATAATTTTCTTCTGTGGTACTTAAGAACGTTATTTAATCATCAAGCATATGTAATATTCCTCCTGTTCTTGTAAAACAAACAAGCCAAGAAATATTTTTAGACTTTGTCAATAAGAAATTTCCATGTCTCTTTAGTTTCTATTCATTCCTTCTCTCCTTTGTTTAAGTGACCATCTGTCAGGCTGTACTGTACACCATGTGTTTGCTCCATAAACATCAAGATAGGTGCTTTATTTGACTGTGAAAAAGAAAGATAGGTGATCTCTTCCTTGGCTCCAAAAGGGGCCTTCGAAGGATAAAAGGTAAGCACTGGCATCACCTGCAGAAAATCCTTTTCTGTGCTGGCTTTCCTGGGTAATGATACCTGATGGGGGTCAAGATTCTGGCAATGTGGGGCTCATTTATGCTCTTTAACATTGGCAGTTTTTCACTCTGACACCTGGGGAAAGAGGACAATCATTCTGAGTCCCCACTTGGCTTGCATTTGTTTCCTTGCTGCATAACAGGCACACTGCATGAGACGAGTGAAAAGACACCAGCCCTGCTGGCTGGAAGCGTGTATATGTGGCCCCTGTGGTTACCCTTGGAAACGGTGTTTCAGCTAACATCTGCCATGCCTGTTCTTTTAGGGAGGGAGGGGGAGAGAGAGAGAGAGAGGGAGAGAGAGGCCTTTCTGCCAGTTCTTTTTCCAATGCTTGAAAGCAGAGGTGTGAAAAAGCCCAGTATTTCAGGCTTTTATCATAAATAGCTGGTCTTGTTCAACTTATCTAGGGGTAGCTTGATATCGCTGATCTGAAAACAGCTGCACATGCTCACATACCACTTCTCCAAAGCACCAAGAGCAATGTTACACGAGAATGGTTAAATCGTTAATACAGATTTCCCACACCTCTCATTCAAATGTAAAGTCCACATTGGTTAGAATGGACCTTTCCAAAGGAAAACAGATTCGTTTCTGCATTCCATCCTAGATAAACAATCATATGCACTCAACCAGTAAAAACAGTTCTCAGGATAGGCTTGGCTGACTATTTTCTTGTTTATTTGGAACAATTTTCCCTTACGTCAAATAAAAGAAAGGAGGAAGTCATGCCAACTTTTTGCTATCTTTATCTTTCTGCAAGGATATACAGGACATGATAATAATATTACGACATAGATGAATATATTGATGTGCAAATCTTTTTGAGAAATGTAGAAAATATTTGTGTGCATGGATCAATAGGGATCCAGTGCAATACTCCACTACAGTGTCAAAACACAGAGAAGATTAACTATTTTGCTTCTTGTTTTTTTTTCTTTTTTAAGATTAGCAGCTCCATTAGTCATTGGTATGCCAGATGCTATATTCAAGAACTAGCAAGATCCAAGACAAGGAACTTTATTGGGCCTGGTCAAAAGCCAAAATTTATGGACTAATCCCACCTCAAGGTTTCAATAGTTTTCCTTTTTGCACATTAACATTGGAAACTTTGTAGAAAAATTTAAGGTTCTCTATAGGGAAAGGTTTATGGAAAGGTATAGTTTGCCCATCTATCCTAAAGATTTATGTTGTTTTCCTGGGTAAAACACATGACTGAATCACTCCTTTAAAAAAAAAAAAAAACCCTGTCCCAGGAAGAGCTGTGCCTTTTCTAGACAATAAAACAGAAACCAAAATGTGGAGGAGTCAGTTTTTAGATCAAAAAAGTCCCTGATCTTTCCTGGGTATATTCTGAGTTGGTGATAAACAGGAGCCTGTTTTCCAATCGTGTAATTCCCCTGAATGTTAAATATGCCCAGAAAATTGGAGTGAGATGAGATTGCATTGACTCCCATATGTTAACTTTATGAGAGGAAAGAGTTGGGAAATAGATCCTTAATTGCTGAGGAGAATAATTCCTACAAAAATAACAGCTGAGGGTTCATTGAGGGTGTCTGGCAGTGCCTGAGAGAGGGAGAGCACTTTGATCTCACCTCCTCTGCCAGCTAGCACCAGGTTACTTCAAACTGCCTTTAGGGCACAGGGTGATGTAGTTTCAACGAGTCACTAAGGCAGGCAGAACTAAAACAGGAGACAGAGAAGAGAGCTTGGTGTGTGGAGATTAGTGCAAGGATTACAATGATATCTGCTGAGCCAGGATTCTGAGCCTTAATACCCAAAGCACTCTGAGAAGGGGAAAAAAAGAGGGGGAAAGGTAGAATCAGTGAGGCCCCAGGGCTAAAAAAAAAAAAACCAAAAAAACACGGTCCATTCTTTCTAATTGATAGTTGATTCAGTTTGTGCCTGCCTCCTATACCTCTCTGCTCAGTGGGTTTATATTACCTCTTTTGCCTTCTAAAGATTCCACTTTTTCAAGGTACCTCAGGTTATTCGGATGGGATGAAGATGGATGGGAGATGATCATAAGTTATTAATTTCCTATCTGGACACCTCTTGTGTGGGAAGGGAAAGAAAGGGAAGGGGCCTCTTAATAATTTTATACTGCAAGGAGAATCAACCGAAGAACAAAGAGATACTGTAATTGCAGTATTACCTTGTTTGCCCAAAAATAAGACAGGGTTTATTTTCTTTTGAACCCCAAAATAAGGGCTTGGCCTTATTATCGGGAGTCTTATTATTTTGGGGATCTTCATGGTTGCTGCTGTGTTGCACTGCTGTGTTGCGCTGCTTGTCAGCTGTTCACCCAAGGCCATGCCCTCGTCCTCACGTCCCTGTGACCAGCTCTTTGGGAGCCTGCTCGCAAGAGAGCAGCCGCCCGGCACCTCCAGCCACTTGGTGCCCACCCAGCAGACAACCCCCCCCTCCAGCCAGGCAGAGCACCACTCACTGACCGAGCAGTATCCCAGGATCCTGATGTGGGCAAAGCCGGTGAGCACCAGGTCTCAAGATATCAAATGTCTTTAAATGAAGGATTTAAGAAAAATTATGGCTAGCATCTTTGTTTATGATTTCTGATACAATATTCACTACTTTCTGGAGCAATACCCACAAAACAAATCTAGTTAGCTATTAGTTACATGCCAAATTAGCTCACTATGGTGGGGGGGGGAAACTCTTGGCATCATGGTTAAAAAATGGATTGACTTACATAAAAATACAAGGACTTTGAATGGATTCTGTACTTGGGAGTTGATTAATATAGTTTAAGTAGTTTATTTACAAAACAAGGATTATAGAAATAATTATTTTCATTATGCATTATTTTCATGGCTGCAATGTTGTATCATTTCCTGAGGGACTGCCAAACCCTCAGTTGGAACTTAACTCCCGACAACATATGTAAGACAGTTTAGTGTAAAAACTGTAAGTGCATTTTTGTACATATTGCCACGTTTGCTATTTTGGGATATATATATAAATGTAAACAAGTCAGGTAAAAGGCAGAAAGAAGTCATTTTACAATAAAAGGTAAAATTAAAGAATATAGTTTTATAGAGGTAAGAAGCATGATGAAAAATCTATGAATGAAAGCAATCTAAGTCTTATTTTTTTTTTAAAAAAAAGTGAAAATATGTTTAGTCGACAAGAAAATCATTTTTCAAAAACCAGGGTGAAAGTGGGGGATGGGGAGAGAATGTAATGGTATGTGGGAATGACCTTGAAAGACAAGAGGAAAAGCCATAGATTGGGCAACTGTTATATAAAAATATCAGAGCCCACAGAAAGAAGGAAGGCATAATTCAGAAGGAATTTCTGTTTCTAGTTTTCCAGAAAGTAAAAGGAAAGAAGGGGAGAAATTCTTTCAGTCTTGCGAGATTCTATTAAATACATCTTATTAATAAAGGTAAAGCTAGAGTCCTGGTTGTGGTGCTTGTCTGGACTACCTTGTAGGGGGCTAACAGAGAGGCAGGGGGTAATTGCACCAACCGATTTACCCTTCAGCAAAACCTAAAATCTATTCCCAGAGAACACTGTTCACACTTCGATCATGCACATAGTACACTGCTGATCATTTAATTCAAATCTTTAAGAAGAGATTGGATAACCATTTGTCTGAAGTGGTGTAGCGTTTCCTGCCTAAGCAGGGGGTTGGACTAGAAGACCTCCAAGGTCCCTTCCAACTCTGTTATTCTATTCTATAAAGTTATTCTTAGCTATATCTAGGAGATCAAAGGATCAGGCATAGTAAGATGGTTCTGTTGTAATTATAATCTCCCCTCTATCAAATATCTGCCAAGGGCTATATGATCTATGAATGACTCAGAGAAGAAGGATATTTGGCTGGAATATATTAACACTGCAATACTTCATACTCTGTTAAGTATTATGTCCTAATTTTAGAGTATACACTTATTTATTTTATTTATCCTGCCCTTATTATTTGTATAACTAACTCAAAGCAGTGAACATATATATTACTCCTGCCTCCTGTTGAAGAAATGACTAACTGAATTCTGTGTGATTTTCTACTGATTAAGAACAAATATTTAAAGACAACCACCAAACAACAATGAGATCACCAGGTAGTCATTTGCCAGAGTTACAAGATCACAAAAGGGTTTTATCACTTCAGA